CTACATTGAGTGTTAAAGGGAAGGGAGAGGGAGTGGTAGGGAGAGATGGTGGTGGAGAGAGGGGAGAGAGTGGTGGAGAGAGAGTGGTGGAAAGAGAGTGGTGGAGAGAGATGGACAGGAGGGGGTGTGATGGAGGGGGGAGGGAATGATGGAGCAGGGAGGGAATGATGGAGGGGGGAGGGAATGAGGGGGAGTGGAGGGGGGGGAGTAGTGGACTGGAGGGGAGGGAGTGGTGGGGACTGGAGGGGAGGGAGTGGTGGGGACTGATGGGGACTGATAGGAGGGGGAGAGAGTGGTGGGGACTAATGGGGGGGGAGGGAGTGGTGCTGGGCCTCTCATCGTGTTCGTGGTGGTGGGCACTTGATGTGTCTTTGTCGTCTGTCGCATTGTTGTCCTCGTTGTGTTGTTGTCCTTGTTGTGTTGCCGTCGCGTGTCGCTGTCATGTCCTTGTCGCATGTCTTTGTTGTCGTGTCCTTGTTGTATGTCCTCATTGCGTGTCCCCATTGTCATGTCATTGTTGCGTGTCTCCGTTGTCGTGTCCTCATCGTGTGTCCCCATCGTCATGTCCTCGTTGTCACGTTGTCGTCGCATGGCCTTGTTGTTGTTACCACGAGCTGTTGACACGGCGGGGGGTTGTTCAGCCGTTGGTTGCTGGTGACGTGGCATTGCCATGTTGTTTTCGTTGTGGCTGGTGTCTGCTGTTGTCATTGTGGGCGGCCAGTGATCGTGGTGGGCAGTGACGGCAACGGCAATGATGGTGGCTGGTGGTGGCCGTTGGCAAGGGTGGTGACATGGTGTGCCCGGTTGTTGTCGACAATGATGGTGGTGGTGGTTAGAAGACAAATGTTGTGGATTGTTTGATGATGCCAAATCAAGTCTTGGCAAACACCGAGATTCGATTTGGGCATGTGGGCATATTAATGTTTATTAATTTTATTGATTAGTAATGTGAATTCCGGACATTGCATTCCTGTTGCATTCCTTTTTGTCCATTCCAGGGACCATTCCGGCTACTAATCAGGAATGATGTCATTCCTGAGGAATATTTGTCCCCCGGAATGTCATTTTGGCTGGTGTCTCTGCCAAATTTGATTCCTCTGGATTCTGCAGGAATGACCAGAATCTGGCAGGAATCAGTGGGGCATGATAAAGACCTCCACCCAATGACTTGGTTACCTTGACCTTCTTTTTAGGGTGAACAGCCTTGACAAATGTGGAAATCAGAGCAGTAAGCTTTCGTTTTGTGGCACTGATGATTCTGCCTGAGGAAGATTTTTTTGCAGGAGGTTCTGGGAACTCCGACATACTGAGTTGTAGGTTAAACTTTTTCCAGGGTATGCGAGAGTGTATTCAGGATGGATTTAAGGTTTGAAAAATATTTGAAACTGTACATAGGGACTTGGCACGTAATTACATTTCTGTTCTGGCACATGCAGCAGCCGTGCTGTTGTGCTGAAACCCTCCAAAACCCTCAGCAAGGGTACGGGTTGTGCCAGGGGTACATAAATGCTGACCCACACCTCTACCCACCTCTACCCACCTCTACCCACCTTGAAAACCCGTGCAGGTTGGCATACCCTTGGTGAACACTAGTGACAATCCCTACCAACAAATGGACAGTGGGATACCAATTTCAATAGCACCATTGTTCATGTGGAATGTGTAGTAGCTTATTGGTCAAGGGTTTTGCAATCTGCTGAGAGAAATTATTCTCCAACTGAAAGGGAAGCATTAGAGTTAAGGGAGGGACTCATTAAGTTTCAACTGTACCTTGAGGGTGAAAAGGTCCTCACCATTAGCGATCATGCGGCACTAACCTGGAGTAAAACTTTTCAGAATGTTAATCAAAGGCTACTTACATGGGGATTTGTATTTTCTGCCTTCCCTAATATGAAAAACAGTACACTGGGCAGGCTGGGTCCATTCAAACATTGATCCAGTTTCTTGACTATGGAGACAACAACCAGTACAGGAAGGACCAGTAAATGTTGACTCAGTATCATTGAGTTTGAAACCAACAGAAGACCCACTCAAAAACATGTTTGAGGAGTTAGGACCGAAATTTGAAGAAAGTTTATTAATGGTAGCATCCAATTTCATGACTTCAGAATTGAAGACAGAGGAAGAAACGATGCATGTACCAGTTAGATTACAAATAGAGGATTCTGAGGAAGCAACAAAGAAGTGGAAATCTCTCAATTGACATCACAAAGTCATTTAACTCTAGTAGGAATGGACCAAGCCAAAATATTGAGATGGAAAGCAGCCTATGAGGGCAATCCTCATTTTAATTCAGTACTTAAGGCTATAAGGGAAGATGAAAATAACAACATACCTTTCCCACAATATCAGTATTCCGACAACAGCCTTTTATATTTTGAGGATAGCATGGGCGATACCAGGATGTGTGTCCCAAAGGGACTAAGGAATGAAGTAATGTCTGAGAGTCACAATACTATCTCGGAATCGACCCATAGCAGCTATTATAAAACCTACAACAGAATTAGTGCAACATATTATTGGCCTCGTATGTCCAGGGAAATCAAGAGTTTTGTCAATACTTACAATGTGTGCCAGAAGATGAAACCGAGGAGACACGTGCTGGTTGGTTTACTACAATCCATACCCATTCCCTCCCAACTGTTTGAAGTGGTCACAATGGATTTCATACCTGAACTTCCCTTGTCAAACAGGTTTGATAACATTCTACATAGTGCTAAGTGATCGAAGGAAAGAAACAAGTGCCTGGCGCCTCCATGCAAATGCCTTTCAATCTCAGCCTGATCCGGACGACGGTACTGTGGAAGATGATGGTGTTGTACTTGATGGAAATTCCTGGCAGTTCCTCTTTGTCTCTGTCCTTGTTTGTAGTCCCAATGACCACACATTCCTCCCCAGAAGTTGTGAATCCCAACCAATTTACTACTTAGCTGTGCCACCGTTTCTTCTCCCTCTGTTATTGGCAGACTTGTTGAAGAAGGCGGCCTGGGAAATTCAAGTTTCTCTATCTGCTTGGCCGCCCACACTTCAGGCAGCAACAGATATGAAGGGCCACATATGTGTGAACATAGGCACTAAAAACTAGAGAATAGACCAAAAGCAGTGTTCCCTCAACATATTTGCTCTCATTTTCTAAGTTTGGTGATGGAATGGTATATCCAACATCTGCATAAAACAAATTTACAATAAAAAAAGGGACCAGATCAAAAAAATGATTGAATGAATATGATCTAAATTCATATTTAGAATTTGCTGAACTTCCTGGGCCAAGATTTTAGCGTATTCTAAATATGAGCTCAGATCATATTTATTTGTTCATTTTTTGGATCTGATCCATTTTTTTAATTGTAAGTTTGTTTTATGCATATCTTAGAAATTGAGAGTAAATAACCACATAGCGTGCCTTCAGGCGCAAAACCCGATACCCAATTTTCTTAACCATCCATCATTCGTAAAGCTACATATTTGGGTGGTACAACATTTTTTGTTGTTTGTCGCTAGTCACCGGGCCCCTTTTACCACAAGTCTTGGACGCAGTTATTATCCTCGCAGGTCGACTTGTGGTTACAAAAACAACTGTATTTAAACCAAATTTAAACAAGAGAATCCCCCAGTCGTGCTTAAGCTTAAGCCTCTGAAGGAGCAGTCAATAGAACAAACAGATACAAAACATCCTCAAAGCTGCCAAAAATAAAGGCTCTGGAGCCATGTCTGGAACAGTCAATGGTTTTTCAATTTTTTTCAAAAATATGCATCTAAGAAGTAGGGTACTTTACCCTGACTACATATGTAAAATTGTAGATCAAGAGCAAAAGTTGTTCAATTTTGACAGATTTATTTTCAATTTTGGATAGATTTATTGTAACACAGTCCAGATCTTGATATAAGTACAACTCTTTTGCACATGAAGCTCAAGGCAATGTCAGGAAATATTAATAACATACCAGTAGCTCATGTATCAGCATTTGATAGCAGTGCAACAATTTTTTTTACCTGTTGATTCTTTTTTTGTTGCCTGCTGGATGGCAACATGCCATTAGGAAGGAGAAGTGTATGTAAAGTGCTTCCACATACCCTGAAATATTTTATTAGCATTGGCTCATACTTTGATGAGCAATTGCATTGAGTAGAACTGACTTTATATGCTCAGAACAACACAAATTTTCTTCCCAATGGTTCAAAAATGCATTCTGGATTCAAATTGGAGTATCCTACAATTTATCACAAGTAAAGTGAGCTATTCAAATATTTTTCTGGCCTGCGGCACATAACATGACAAGAAAAGCCTGTAGGGAGGTGAACTGCTTGAGCAGCTGCCTATTTGGGTGTTAATCCCAATCGGGTGTTAAATTTTCCCAGGTTCCAGAACTACATTACTGTGATTTCAGACATTTTGCCTATCAAATTTTACTGACCACATAAGTAGAGGTAAACATAGAATACAGGTATTTTTTTTCTCAGCCTGCAGCACAAGTTATGGTTTTGTGGAAGATTGTGTGTGTTAGAGGCTGCCTGCCTATTCGGGTGTTAATTTTGATGGCAATCCCAATTGGGTGTTAATTTTTGATTGTTCCCAAACGGGTGTTAAATAACGCCCGATTAGGCGTTATTTTGTTCCAGACATGGCACCTGAGCCAAAATAAACACGAGAAGACGGAAAGAGGAGAGGCGGGCAGAGCCGACGGATAAACAACTGCAAAAGATCCTCAAAAGTGCTAAAAATAAGCAAACGACGACGGGAAGGGCCGAGATGGGTCACGAGAACAACAAACAAGTACAACTTTGAAAATATTTTCTTTGAGTGAACCCGAGGGTATAAGAACCCTCTACTAACGTATCGGGTATATACCAGGACAAAAGAGATTTCAGCATATCCCACCGTTTTGAGAGCATATGTTTATACATATGTAGCCCTACATATTCGTCGCTGTCTCAAGTGCCACTTTGAACACTGTCTTTTCTACTTATCGTATTGGCGGCGCTCGCTGACCACACCGACGATGTACGACGACTCTTCGCTTGTCAACAAGCTGGATTCGGCAGTGCCAGCGCCATTGGCCGAGTTCGATGCTTTCCCCAAGCTTCTGTCAGATGAGCTACACCTGAGTGGTGGTGGGCAATCTAGCTAGCGACATTTATATCGGGAGTTGACATTGCATTTAGGCTGTGCTTGACATTGGACAAGTGATGGCGCACAAGTGAGTTCTTTTCCTACAGCCTCCAACCGTTTCAACTGACCAATGTTAAGGGAACACTCGGGAAACTTTGTCTGCCCGTCAAGTCATTTCACAATCCTGGAAATCCCGCGGCTTCTGCGCCAATTTGTTCCGAAAAAACAAGTCCAACTTCAAGCCAACGTATAACTATCACCACACGGCAACGAATGTAGAGTCTGGGGTTCTCTTGCGGTGAAACGGGCTACAGGTACGCTTTTAATCCCATTCCTTGGGACTTTCCCTGACTTATGGCGAATGAAAGCCAATCTTCACATCACTCTCTTGGCCATGGTTATGCCAGCTATGAACATGTAGACCATAACCGTACGTCCTCCCTCCCCCCTTCCCCGACATCCAAGCTTACGTCGCCCTTAAAGATGAACCTCTTGCACGTCATCACAGCCTTCTCATTCAGGCCCCATTTCCCCGACATCACCCAACCATTGGACGACTCTTTCGAATCCACAGACGAACGTAAGTACCAGTTCTCTTTCCAATACCCCACCTAACATCCCTCCAAAACAGGTTTCGTAGCATATCGATACTTCTTACACGTCGTCCTGGCAACCTACATCGCCCTTTTACACCCGCATAATGCAGCATAACCAAGGCACCCCAGGCATCTTCTTCAAATTCAATTCAGACCCGCTTGCAATAACACAACACCAATGAACCACAACCTTCCTCCAAGTCCTCATCCGCTGCATCGGCGTCATAGGGGGAGTTTTCGTCTGCATGGGGTACCCATTCCGAATAGCCACACGCGCAGTAAAAGCAGTGAGCGGCACAGACCAAACACCAGGGATCGTCGCCAGAGTGGGACTCAGATCGAAATGGGGTGGGGGCGAACTGCCCAAGAGGGGAAGATGGTTCCTCAGGGGAGTGGCTCGGTTTTGGAAGGCTCAAGCACGTCGCCGTATGCTAGTTATGCCAATACGCCGCTTACGGGTGGGTTCCCTCCCTACCCCTGCTCCTCAGGGCGTCCCGTCCTCTTTTGCGGGCTCGTCGTATTCGCACCTCGTTCTTCCACCCCCATATCATGTACGGTTACGATGGACAAGACGACTCCAGTGCGAAGATGAATATTCCTCAACGCCCTACAAATATACAAAGTCCGTGACTTTTCTTGAATAGCGCCGGCCGGACCTGGTTCAAGACCCAATTTGCGGGACCGCCCCCGTCCTGGATAGAAGTAGGCAGTCTACGCTTTGGCTGCCTCCAACCAGCTATAAGCCCAGTTCTCCGCCCTTTTCTAAAGCATTTCGCGACAAGCCAACGAGCGAAGCGAATAGGATGGATGCAACGAACATCAAACACTGCACCCCTTCTTTGTGCTCCTCGTGTTTCTTGAAGGCACGCACACCACCAGCAATGGCGACGACCCCTGTAGCCAAACCACCGGCGATATATTCCATGAAGAGAGTTTGACCCAACTGTGTTCTGTCACCCGCCTCAAGTTCCTTCCTGTGCTATTCATCATCTAACCAAACTTTCTTCTCCACGGCGTGGGGTGCCATTGTCTTATGATGGTTTCGCTCAACCCGTCAGTGGCAGCTGGTCATGGAGGATTGGCCTTGGGTTGCCTTCGGCTCCGGGGAGTATACGTGCGTCTGCGAGCTTGGGACCTAGGTCAACGTCAGGTGGTGCGACTGCGATGGGCATGGGAAGGACTCCTAGTACGGACGAACATGAAGGACTGACGCGAGCTTTCCGCCTACTCCGAACACTGCGATTAGTACCAATGGAAATGGGAGTGGGGATATAAGCTGTCTGCCGAAGAGACCGACACCTGTTGGGCCTAAGAGGGACGGTTGACGAGGATGGGGAAGAGCCGATATTGGGTACTACTACCATCCTGTAGATATATGTATTGGGCTCCTTCTCGCTTTGAAGATCTTCATTGAAAACATGGATACAACATGTATGCAAACGAACAACACTGGAACGAACGAACGAAAGACAAAAGCAGAAAACACAGAAGACAAAACACAACCCGCAAACCACCACTCAACGCACAACGCACAAAACCAACTTCCTCACTCGCACCAACAACAATCAATCCTCAATCCCAATCATCCTCCTAACCAACAAATCCAGCTTCCTCGTCCTCAACAACCCCTCCAACCTCAACACCATCTCATCCTTCGTCCCACCCACCACAATAGCCGGGTTTCTCTCCGCATGAGCAGACAAATTACGCCGAAGTGCAGCGCACGATAAGGCGCTGCACGCCTCTGGGTCCGTTATCAACGGGGACGAAGGGTACAGGAGGTACGCTTTCGGTATATCTTTCAAACAATCCAATCAGTATCAGAACGTTGTGAAAGAGAAACTCATACATACTATCAATATAATCCTCACACCCCCACGGAACCTCAATATCCACAATCCACTCCTCCTCATCGACCCTCTTCGCCAACGTCCTCAACCCGTTCATGTCGATGCTCGTATCTGCGATGGAGAGGTAACACAGTTTGGAGAGGAGAAGGAATGGCGGGTACGGATGTACTGTCGATGTCGGGGTTGGTGGCGAGCGTTAGTTGGGTTAGGGTGTGTTTGAGTGGGATGAGGAGGTATACACTGCGTGTCGAGTGATGGTGGGTAAGTGAAGAGGGGGTGAGAGGGAGGAGGGAAAAGAAGACAAGACTTACGCCTCGTTTCCTATCCCTGTATTGTTCAGAAAGAGAACGGAAAGCTTGGGGAGGCGGTGGATGTGGATGATGTCGAAGTCGCGTACGCGTGTTCCACTGAATGAAAGTTCGGTTAGGGAGAGGAAAGTGTTGGGGGTGCTGGATGTTGTGTGAATGAAGAGGGATCAACGACGCAACATGGAAGGCAGAGGGAGTAAAGGGCAAGAACATACTCGGAAACAGGTCCTTGCCGCATAAATTGAGCCCATTCTCATCAAAAAGGGAGTTTACGAGGGATATACGCTCCACGTCGGTGGTACGCAGAATGTCGAGGATGCGGCCGTTAATCTTAATGTGTCCTTTAACCAATCAAATAAAGTGAGATATATGCGGAGTAGTGAGGAAATACCGTGGTCTGAAAGGAAATCCGTGATAGCTTGATGTGAAGCGTCCTTGATGTTCTTCAGTCGTTCGAATAATCGAATTCCAGGTATAGATCCTTGATGAGCTTATCCAAGTCGGGTTTGGTCAAAGGTTTCGGATGGTCTTTAGGTCCAGGTTTTCTAGCAGGAGAAGAGGCGATAAGATACGTGAGAGGTTCCCTGTTGTTGTGAGTGATGTCGAATTTCGTAGAGGCGTTATACGTAGCCTGAGACTCGGCCGATCTGGAGTACTTGAGTGGGCCTTGGAGGTCGCTGAAGGATGATAAACGTCTGCGTTTCAATACCAGCGTTTCAATAGAGCTATGGCCATCGTGTTTCCGAGTACTGTTTCGTTCCAGATCGTTGACAAAGGCAGAGTACGGAGGAGGCAACAGAGGGTTCAAGACACCAGGATCGATAGCCCGAGCATGAGATACATATCTGCCGACAATCCAGTCCACGTCGTCGTCAACGTCACTTTCCAAGGTAGACTGGTCGAGGGTCCTAGCAAAGGAAATGAAGAGTTCTTGACCGCGTCGCCTAGTAATACTAATAGAAGTGGGTCTGTGAATCCGAACGCGGTGTCGCAGAGAGCTGAGAGAGATAGGTATTCGTAACTGAGCCCATTGTCGTCATAAAGGGTTCCTCTTTGACCTTGCACCATCGCCGGCACCCTCAAATGGTAACCCTCACAGACCTCCCTCACTCACTAGAACCAAGCAGGAAGATGACCTGGTCTGTCCATACACCCTACGTCGACCGTCCACCCATTACACGGTTGTGTTAGATCAACTTCTGCTCACCACGGGATCCACGACGAAGAGCTACCACGAGGACCTGCCCAAGATCTTGATGTCAATGAACGGCGGTAGCCCGGGTGAGCTGAACGGTGAGGTGGCACGCAGTGTTGCATGAAAAGGCCGAGGAGGACTGGACACGTTCCGTGGCATGAGTGAATAATGACGATGGACCTTGGGTGAATGATAAGTGGCGGAAAAATTGGTTGGATCGGATGGAGAGGCAAGAGTGAGTTGTTTTTCACGCCTTTTCTTTGTTTCCAGACTTATAAATGTTGGAAGAGTACAGATACTATCACTACCCAGACCCGCTCCACCACCTCCAGCACCTTGAAATGCC